ACAATTAGAGAGAACCTCTTATGGCAATTAAAATTTGAAATTTTACCTGGATTTCTAGTTAATTAACTGCCTCTCCTTATCAAATCCTACCTTCTACTCAATCCGGATCACACTCCCACCCTATATACACTCTAATACACGTATCTGCAGATTTATTGACATATTACTGCAGATTTATTGAATATACTACAACACTACTACACAATAAATTATTAGACAAAGAATCTAAGTTTTCTCCTCCTTTGATAAACATTGGCAAAAGGTTTTATCTTCATAGTTGTAGAGGCCTGAATGCCGACCCTCAACTTGACCAAGAGAAGAAAAGATTCATATGGTTTGGAGATATCTTTCTCCAGGCTCTTGTCAGAAATAGAAAATTTGGTTTTAGAATCCCAACCATTAAACTGCAGCCCAAAGTGCCTCTTAATCACTTCATTACGCAAAGTGTTAGGTTCTATAAAAAGCCAATAACCATTCAATCAATATGGATAGGTTTTATTCACAAGGTTTCCAATGCCTAATCCTCATACTTCTTAGGATGACAACACATCTTCCATCCTACTAAATGATCTATAAAAGCTTTCCCCACAATCCACACCAGACCAAGGGAGATTCTTCATCACTCTCTCAATTTTTGTGCAAAGAGCAAGGGCAACTCTTTGTTGCAAAACACTTGGCGTTTTTATTTAAGTTCATTTACGCTGAATCCCATTTTTATTCCCTTCTCTGCCCCATGGATCACATAATTCTCTTGTCCTCAGCTCGATTTTGTTAAAAGTCTTGTACATTGAAATTAATTTTGTTTGTTTGTCATAGATGTTCTACATGTTGCATATGCTCCCTATATATGTTGGTGCCCATCTTTTTGGTATACAAACACTGAATTTTTCAATTGCCAAAGATGTATTCCATGCATCTTGACTTTGATAACCATGATATCCATATTATAGAAAGGATTTAGGACTAAAGAGAAAGCTAATAGCCCAATGAGTGCAATGGCAATGATGGTAAGATTCTAATGATGAGAAGAATTTTTTATTTTTTTTGGGAGAAAGAGAGAGATGTAACAAATGCGGAGGATAAAGAATTCTCTGATAAATTTTATCCAAAAAAAGAGAATCCTCCTATGAAAGTAGAAAACAACAAATAAGAAAGGAAAATGCCACAATAGAAGAGAGGAAAAAAAACCCCTTTAGCAAAGCAGACAAAGAAATCCCCAAAAAGAAAAAAAAACCATAAGCTTTCGACCATAAAAACTCATAAACACCAATCTATCTCAAAGGTTTTTTGATGGTTATGAACTAATTTCCAACATGACAACAAGAATGCTTACTAATTTCTAATATTAGTTCCCTTTCAAATAAATCTTTTTGAACTAGAATCCTAAGATATAATCAGTCCACACATTTTTTATGAAATCTACAAGTTAATAGTACAATTGCCATTATTTCCCAGACTATCTTGCTCTCAACATGGAAGGTTGTAATCATACCACATATCACAATACTATGTCACTAGAAAACCATGAAGGATGAACAAGTCAAGCCTTTAGATTCTTCTCACCAGAGTACGGTTCAACAATGAGGCAATAGCAAGTGCTGTCCTTATTTGTTTTATCTGCATGGAATTATTAACAATATATCATGAGAATAACTTGGTGGCATCAAAAATAAGAGAAGAGAAGGAACAAGATAGGCATATGCATACTTGGTAATTAACAAGAGAGAAGTGAGATTCGATATTGTGCTCTCCATCTAATAGCAAGCTCTTAGGGATTGATGGCTTAAATGACAAAAAACCTCCTGCATAGTTTGTCAAAAAGTGTTAAACATAAGCAAAATTCTCATAATGGAATTCAACTTAAGAGTTAATTCGAAGTAGATGGTTTAACACATCCATCTGAAGTCCAAACTTGCTAAATTCCACTTGTATGTAGTTCAAACTTGAATTATATTGAATAGTAATGAAATATAATAATAAATAGAAGAATAATTGATTTTAATTTCAAATTTTTTGACCCCTCCCTTGGAAAATGAGAATTCAAATTTACCATTTAGAATTGAGAATACGAGTGGAATTGTTCAATTATCTATCAACTATGTAAATTATAAATAAAAATTCTATATATTCAATAATTAATCTAGGAATATAACAAAAATAGGGTAGACTTGAACAAAATGCAGTCCTGTTGTCTGAGTGTCAAATTTAAATAGAGCATATATATCATTTGCCACTGGAGCAAGTATATGTTGTCAGTTAACACTGCCATGCCTCTACTTTTGGAACAAAATAAACTTTATGAATATGTTACTTCTTAGATCTTCAGCCAGGAAAAGAAAAGGTTAGTAAAGGCAGAATATAACCAATCTACAGGAATAAGTATATGAAAAAGAAGCACTTCTAGAAACTAGTAAAGCATGGTTATTTAGAAGTAAAACTAAAAGTAAATAAAAATGGAAAATAAATTGATTACATTTCGAGAAACTAATTAGAAAACAAGTAGAATCAAAATAAACAACGTCAAAATGTCTTCCATGCTTTGGATTAAACAACAGCCACACAAGGAATCACCCAGTATCATATGAGAAATGTTCGTGTTTTTCTTCTTTATGAGAAAAAAAAAAAGAAATTATTGGACAGAAGAAACATTGTAGAAAGGCTGAGGGTTAAAAGTCCTCCTAAGCCAACACTTGAAGAATCCAAGGTCCAAATTCTACTATCGGGATAAAAGAGGCAATAAAAGGCTCAAGGATATGAATAAAGAAAGTGTATCATTTCACTCACGATCACTTAAGCTCCTAAAGAAGAATTGACTCCAAGAGGAATGTCCATCAAGTTGATTAATAAAGTGACAGATAAGAGCACTATGATGTAATGGAAGGCTATAAAAGTTTAAATAAAGGGTAGCAAGGGAAGATCGTCACACCCAAAATTTTTTATATTTGTGTTGAAGAGAAAATTATATTATTCGCTTGTCCTCAGAGTTAAAGGTTAATAATGATATAAGAGTTCATAAAAATCCCAGGTCATTAAGCAATCCTGAAGCAGAGGACCTCAAGAGAATAAAATATAACTTAAGATTAACCAGCTAATGTAAGTGCCTGTAAACTTACCTGGGGCATCATAATATTCTGGTGGATCATAGAACACCATGGCTTCCCTCAGCCGGTGACGCTTTCCATCAGTTCCTGCATACTGAAAAGTGGTATGAATAGCATATGGTTCCAATCTGAGTTGCTGATACATGGCCTGCCAATATAGGATTAGCGCGCTTAGGAGACACACTGAGATTTATGCTGAATTTTATAAGGATTAAGCAATTTTAAATCAAGTCTGACAGAGCTTGAGTTGGTTGACCAATTATTGCTAAATAATTAGTTGGTTGACCAACTATTCCAAGAGCTTGAGTTGATAGATATAGGTCTAACTTTATTAATTATATTCAAATGCAGTCCTTTTTTTTTTGAAATATAAGAGAAGAAATGTATTAATGTGTTGGTGCCAAGGGGGCACCACCCGTGTACAAAAGATTAAAAGTCAATACAAATGCAGTCCTTTTATTATTTAAGTTTTGACATGTCTCATCACATCACATATTGAAGAATCCGCTATATCTCAACAATATGATGGAAAGAAAATATATGTTACAGGGATCCCAAAACCCTAAGCCAAGAAAAGAAAAAACTATAAGAGGAACTTAACTGTATAGGTGAAGAACAACCTCAGAAACTATTATAGAAGATAACAGATAATCCTCCATGTCAAGTTAGAGCATATATATGACATGTACCAACCTAGTTCTAAATGAACTTCACATGAGTTCCCAATAAATATTTTGTGAACAATTCAGCTAGTCAGTATACTTCATATAAGTATCTAGAATAACATTCTGGAAGGGCTTTTCATGAATAAAATCACTGTCAAACTCAATATGCTTAATTCTCTCATTAAAAGATGTGCTTTAAGCAATGTGGGTTACATCCTAACTATCACATAGTAATTTCATGGATTGTGATCTTGGGTAAGCTTGTAATATAAATACTTTAGTTCAATCAACTCGCCAAGTAGTATAACTCTACATCAGAAGTCTAATGTCCAATATCAAACAATAGATGAGACAAACCTTCGGAATACAAGGAGCTAAATATAACTCTACCTGCACAAAATAAGTATGTCCACTGCAAAATATACTTGCAGGCAAAATTCCAAGCTTGAGATTTCCATCATATGCATATACAAGCCCACTATCCCCATCAAGAGATGGTCCTAGCTGCCTGCGGACAATATCATTGAAACCGTTTTGATCCC